AAATGAGTCAATTTGATGATTCATAATCTATAATTTATTACTTTTAACTTTTTAAAAGTTGATAATCTTGATTCTAGAAGATTTAACAAATCATTTGTTAGAGCTACATGCAACAATGAATGTGCAATTAAACGAAGCTTAAAAATGACAGAAGGTTACTGTGGATGCCTATCACAAGGAAAAACTTCAATTCAATATAGGTGATAAGATATGATTACTTTATTGAAATATAAGAACTACCTATCTTTGTGATAAGTTGAATTGCCATAGGCTTGGACCTTTTCTTATTAGTGAATAACTCAATTGTATTGCTTATCAATTATATCTTTTGGAATCAATGAAGATCCACCCCATATTTCATGTATCTCTTCTTAAGCCATATAAGACAATGAATATATTGACAAAAGGACAAAAGCCACCTCTTCTTATAGAGATGAATAGTAATCAAGAATTTGAGGTGGAAGAAGTCTTTGATTCAAAGCAATGCCAAAATATTTTAGAATGTCTTGTTCATTAGTGTGTATATGATATTAGTGAAGATACATGGAAGCCAGCAAAGAATCTTGCAAATGCTATAAAGAAAGTTGAACCTTTTCATCGATGACTTCTATCAAAAAGAAGATGAAGAATAAAAAATCTTTGTTATAAAAGAAAGAAGTTCAAGAAAGATAATACTTTACCTTCTATCTTTCTTTGTAGCTTCTATGTATTTGTGATGCTAAAGAAATGAAAAACCAAAAACCAATAGATTCAATTCAAGAGCTTTTATTTGTTGACTAACTAGATGAGACATTGTAATTATCACAACCTTCCAGACGACATAATTTAGATGAAGATTTTCAAGAACAACATGTCCTTCCTTAAATAGATGGTAAGATAGAACATGTTTGATATCACAACTTTGGAAGAGAGTCTTGATATTTAGTGATTTTATTAGAGGTAGGAAAAATTCCTAATAATGTTCCAAATATTTTATTTGAAAGAAGTTATGAAGGCCTCAAAAAAAGTTAAATAATAAAGTCATCTTCTCACCCTGATATGGGATACTATCAATAGCTGAGTGGACCTATCAACCATCTTCAAAGAGAACAAAGATCAAAATATGTGGCAAATATAATTTTCCACTTCTTAAATTTCATCAATATACAATGACCACTTCTTATCAAATTCGTCCCTAGAAGAAAGAATAATATCACGAATATATATAGGTACTCTAATAAATATCTATGTTATTATATAGAAATAGATAAAAGTAGATAAAAGTAGGTTAATTTCATAATATCTTCTAGAGAAGCTTTTTAGAAGCTTCATAGATGTTGCTTTGACTTAACATGTATTTGTAGTTAATTAGTAGGCTAGAAACTTGGTCAACAAGTTAATCATATATTGATAGCTTACAAAATAAGCTAATTATGTGGAGGACATATAAAAACTTGTCTTTTAAATTAAGATACTTATCTTGCAAAGTCAACATGTTTTAGAGGTCTTATAAGACATTGCCATGTAGCTCTTAGTTAAGAGTATATATAGAAGCAAGAATGAAGCCTTCTTCAGTCTTGTCAATTCCTTTCTAGTCCTTAGTCTTGTTTCAAGACTTTTTAGTCTCTCTATTTTTGGCAATAGCCATTCTAGTTCAATAATATATCATCTTTAAGTAATTTTCAAGTTCTTTTCAGTGATACAAGGATGTATTGAGGATTTCTTTCTTTAAAATTCATATCCTTGACACAAATTCTTTTGATTCCTTCGATTCATGTAAAGAGATAGTTCTTCAGGTCCTCTTCAACTCAATCATCTTTATTCTTAATTGTCTCATATTTTTAACTAACTCCTTGAGGATACCTTTGAAAAGAATCTCACATATCTTTTAGATTTGAATAGATGTCATCAGATTTGATGGAATAATTGGCATCATAGGTAATAGAACTTAATGACTCAAAGTCCCTCTTTTTGCCTTTATCCATAATTTCTTGATTATCAATAGTACTACATCTTCCACTCTCCTCCAATCATTAATTAAACCTCTCTCAATAGACTTATCAATGAAAAGTATGAAGAGCATATTCTCTAGTACTTCATCCACTATTTACAAGAAGAGCTCTGTCTTCCTTATATCCAATAAAAGTCTCTCTAAAGATGAAAGTTAAAAGAATTTTCTCTCAAACTTCCTAAGCAATTTATTTGGGGCCATAAACCTCCCTCATTGTTATTCAATCTACTCTAAAAATGACCTCTCAGTGACTCTATTAGAATCTTTATTTTAAAATTTATTTCTCAATTTTTCTTCAAATTCACTCCAAGCTTCTAAATCATCTCTATAAAAATCCTTTGCCCTCTTTCTAATTTTAAGAATGCATGCCAATTCAAATCTAGGAACTTAGTAAGACTTGAAGACTTCATGTACCTCCATTTTTCCTACATATGCTTGGAGAAACTTGGTGATGTTCCTCCCATCAAACCTCCTATAGTTGTTGACTATGCCTTGCAATGCCTAGGTTACTCTCTTCTCACTTACTTGTACTTTTTATTGTCTTTCAATGAAAATACTCAAAATCAAGAATAAATCATTAGTACTTACTCTCTTAAGGCCACTTATACTGGACTCTCTAAAATCACCCATCATCTTTTAATGTCAAAAATTTCTCACTTCTCTCTTTTAACTCTTAAACACTTTCTCATGCTCCAAGCTTATATCATACCTCTATAACTCTAATGTGCTCTACTTATACTTCCAATTACTTCAAAGATACTTTTAATAGAAGTATCAAATTTATATCATTGATTGTAAATAGGTTATAAGAAGGATAATATTGCTTGAGTGAATTTAAATATAAAAAAATAGTCCAAATGTTGAATAAAAATTTTAGATTGATTTCTATCTTGTACCAAGATGCATCCAATTCCTAGTTCTAATCTCAAACCCAAACTTCTTCTCACCAAAATACCTATAATTTACTTATTATTAATCCAATTTAGATAAATTTTAGATCGTTAAATTTAATTCAAGTTAAAAACTTCAAATTTTTAAATTTAATAAACAAAATTTTGAGAAAATAAAAGCCAAATCAAAAAAAAAATAAGTTGGCCGCTTATTACAACCATTGCCATCAAAACCTTCATCTATAAATTAGCTTCAATCTTCCTTGTCATAAATTTTCTTCTTATGTACTAAAACTTATTGAAAAACTAACAATGAGATTCACCTTCCTTTAAAATCTTATATCAAAAAGAAAAAAATACAAGAAATGGCATAGAAAATTCTAAATCAGTCTTGAATCATGTTGCCCCAAAAACTTCAACGACCCCTCTCCCACAAACTTGCATGGATCTCCCTTGTCACAACTCTTCTTTTTATGTGCTTAAGCTTGTTGGAAAGCTAACAATAAGATCTAGCTTCTCTTTAAATCTCAACACAAAAAGATGAAAATTCAATAAGTGGTATCAAAAATCTCAAACCAATCTTGAAACCTGTCATCTCAAAATTCTAACAACCTTCCTTCCATACTCCTACCTAAGCAAAAATAAATAAATAAATAATAATCCCATTTGATGCCAAAACTCCTATATTTATCTTCTTCCAATACTTGCTTTCAATCACTATAGAATTGGATATCTATCCTAAAAGAAAATACTCTCAAAGCTTGAATAATCCATTTAAGCCAATAATCTCTTATTCTAAATTTCATTCAAATTTGTAAATATATTAGTATTATATTCCTTCTCTTACAAGTAAAGTTAATTACCATCCAAATATCTTCTAACTGTATCACAACAATGTAGCTCCTAGTTAGATAATATATATATGGATGCAAAAGTGAAGCCTTCTTTATTTTTGTCAACACCTTTCTAATCTTTAGTCTTGTTTCAAGACTTTCTAATCTTCTTATCTTTGGCAATAGCCATTCTAATTTAATATTATATCATTTTTGAATATCTTTTCTTTTTGAGTGTTAGAAGAGTTTCTTGATCTTTCAATTCTTCAAGATTCATGTCCTAGAGACCTCCATGATGCTTTGAAAGCTCTCAAGACCTCATGAGCCTTGGACTTGCAATGCATCTATTTCTCCTCCAACTAAAATCAAAGCATTTTTTCATATCAAACACCTTGATGTCTGTGAAGTTAGCTATTAAAAGTAGCTATTTTTTCCATGCATCACAAACAACTTGTTTAGTCCACAACTTAATCCCAATGTCACAAACAACTTGTTTAGTCCACAACTTAATCCCAATGTCACAAACAACTTGTTTAGTCCACAACTTAATCCCAATGTCACAAACAACTTGTACAGGCAAGAAGTTACATTAAGTATTTTAGAAAGGTCTGGTGCATTAATGATGTTTTTGCATCATAAATCAATAATCAACCCAATTGAAAGCTGGTAAGTCCTAGTGCTAGTCCTAGAGGGTAAATTTAGGTTGTATCATTCTGCCATGTCCAGCCCTGGCTGAGATACTAGTATTTTACCTTTATTTTTTTATTTTTTTTATTTTTTTAAAAATGACCTGTAAAAGTAAAAGATGGTACAAGTGAACTTCCGAAAGAAGCATCGACCTTATAGTTGACACCGACTGAATTGCATGGGCGCCTGCACCTGGTCGTCACACGCGCATAAAGAAACGGGCAGAGCAGCAGCAGTGGCACAAGCCCTGCAGCCTTTGGCACTGGCATTGTGAATCCAGTCTCGGGCATGGAGTGGGAAGAAAGTAACACAACGCTGCAACGGGTGATCTGGAAGTGGAACCCAAGGGCATGCCTCCTCATTCTACTTCAGTGTGGAGAATTCTATGTTTTCACACACTTGACCTCGCTGCATCTACATGCTGATCTACTGTAGTTTGGTCAAATGAGAATGGCAATCTCAAAGAAGGTTGCCAAAGTAGTGACATCTAGACTTCCCTAAAGGGATATGAGCATTGTCAGAAGACGCACAACCCCTTTGAACAAGTATCTGAGATTGCTCAGGTTCCTCTTGCGGAGATACCCAATTACTTTCACAAGGTTCAAGCATGCGCCGCGAAATTGCACTGCAGTGCAATACATTACATTTCAGATCATTTTGAGACATTTACAGTTGTCCTACTTTGTGATGAATGCGAGTAAACCAGGAACTTCGCGAGTGGGTGCTAATACTGAGGTAGTACACGTACAATATCGAACTTGTAACCTCGGCCTTGAGATTCCCGGGGAAGGGTCTCTGCCTAATCTCTTTAGACGTAACCTCGACGCTCTCCATGACTGCAAAACTCGTTACAGATTGAACTTCTTCGGAGTTAGACTAAGAACTTAACTACAAGGCACGGGATAACTGGCTACCAAATATAGCAGCAGTCGTCACTGAATAAAGTGCGCCTTAGTAAAAGATCAATCGCCAGCAGCAGGCTCTTCACGGTTCCACATGTTCTCAGGCTCGTCGTGACAGCAGATCCCACCATTGATCGCAAGAAAAAGTTGCATTACAATCTGCCGAGTGATGAATCGTAATGTTCATCCTGCCACTGCTAAAGTATCCCCACTGACAACATTTCTGGGATCGTTTGAGCATTTCGGTATTAGCTGGACGCAAAATTAGTCTTCTGAATAAATTCATGAGCTGTAGAAACTTGGTGGCCAACAGATTAGGGCAACTGTTCATCGCGTCAACGTTCGAATGCTGTTTTCGTGAGGACTGAAGTGATGGCGATGGTTATCTTCGGCGCTGAGAGTGCATTCGGAATTCCCCGATGGAAGCAGCTAATGCAGCTGGGGGGAGCATCTCGCCTCGGTCATTCAATATGCCTGACATTCGTAAAGCCAGCTCTCCGGGCCCGTCGAAGTAAGGTGTGCTTTGCACAGAATATGGCTCCCGGACAGGAGGCGGCTCAGAGTAAGACGAAGCGGGTAAGCCTGACATGGCGCGGCGACACCAATCTTCCATTTTCCTTTGAAAAATAATGTCTTTCAAGCGATTCCGCATGCCTTTATAGAATTGCTCCAACTTAACCTGAGCAGAGTCCAATCACAAACCTTAAACCCTACATAAGCAGAGCCATTTCTGACAAGGGAATCTAAAATATAAATTTGCAAAAAGGGCTTCATACAGCAACCTCACAATGTAATACAGCAATACAATGTTGGCAACTTACCAACTCGTCAAGCGGTGCATCCTCGACGTGCTGCTGCCACTCCTTCAGTGCCGAGCTCTTTGCTCCAAACCCATTTGCATTTTGGGCATTGAATCGGGGGACGTAAGAATTTGAATAATTTCCAGGTAATTGAAGAGCGAAGGTCTCCAGTCCTCCGTAAATGGCAGCATGTAAGGTCTCCGCATAGCGATAACAGTCGGCCAACTCTAGTTTCATGGAAGTTGTGTCCTCCACTGTGTGCGAGTCGCCTCCTATCTGGTACTTGAAAGCTCTCATACTTGTGGACGACGGCTCTGTTCCTGACTCAAACACTATTTCCCATCAGTCAACACAGTTAGACATATCCTAGAAACCAACTTTTACAAAACTAAGGGAGGCAGAATACATGGTTGTCTTTGCTGCCAAACCTGTTTCTCTGCCGAAGCTTCTAGAATTCTCTGGCTCGGGCTGCACTGGAGGCCAGATATGATCTCTTCTTGAAGGTCGAGTCGGTGACTCCATACCCTGATCTCCCCTTCGTGAGGTTCGTCCCGGGATTTCCATCACTCGTTCTCCTCGGATAGTGGGCCGACCTAGAGATTCCATGGTTTTTCTGATATTTGAAACACCTCGAGGAGGTCTTTCAACCTCTACCTCTTGCACTTCGCGAACATATTGCTCAACTGGTAATCTAGAGAAGGAATGGCTTCGTGGAGGCTTGCTGTCGTCTAATTCTCGAACGTAAGGTCTGATTTCGTCGCCTCTACCTCGTGAGCCGCCCCTACTGGATGCGCGACTAGATCTGCGAATATCATACATACCTTCTACGTCCAGATCCTTGGAGCCATTGGATTGCGGCCCCGGCGGCCACAGCACCGGACTTGGGAACCAGCTATCAGAGTGATGCCCGAGGCCAAGGACGCCATTCTTGCCGCGACCCCAGGCCCAGAGATCTTTCCCACCGTCGGAAACAGTCAAAGTGTGCGCAGCGCCGCATGCAATCCCTTTGGAGCCCGAAAATAGATTGCACTTAGCTGACGACTCTCCAAAAACTCGCACCGGTGAGAGAGCATCTCCGCTCTTCGATCCTGGAGGTCCAATCCCCGGACATTGTCCAAGACCGCCTTCCATTCCCCAAACCCAGACGTCTCCAGATTCCATTACAACTGCGGTATGAAACAGTCCGCACACGACGGTCTGTATTCTCTCGCGAGTAGGTAATGCTCCCACTGTGACTGGAGAATTTGAGTTTGTGCAAGTGCCTATACCTAACTGACCATTCTCATTTTGCCCAAAGGTCCAGCAAGTGGAGAACCCGCCATCGCTAACTCCTCCGCTCTCCCTCTTTGAAGCCTGTGTCCTTGACCCATTCCCCGCCCAGCTAGACACCGAGCTCTGCGAGTAAGCCCGGGAGCTGCTATCGCTGTGGATACTGAAGCTGCTCTGATTTCGGGAGCCATTGTTTGGAAGTGCGTCTTGATATCCCTGCTTGGATCGTACCCGCGGTGAAGCAAGAGATTCCATGTACTGGTCGGGTGTTACGCGTCCTCGCAGTTTTGGAGACGCCATGACTTGCTCCATCAGCTGCGGCGAAGTCTGGATTCTTCTCGCCATGGAGGAGCTGTCGGAATCCAGCTCCTGATCGTCATCTTGCATAGTGACGATAGCACTGTGGTAATAACCACAAGCAAAGTCCACTATCACTCCTACCTGCTGCATTTTGATTTTTGTAGGAATGTCACGCGGCTCAAAGTCGCCGAGACCAAGTTGGCCATATGCGTTGCCTCCCCAAGAATAGCAATCAACTCCATTGCAGCCAGCTACGAGCGCTAAAATATGCTCACTCCCGCAAGCCACTCGACGTACACAGTGTCCCATCAGTGCCGAAACACGTTCTGGATAATTAATATTAGCGAGCTCGAACGAATTGGACTCTGACTTTTTGTCTGGCGCCGCGGGATGGGGAACTGCCCCCCAGAGCCATAACCCACCTTCTTGATCGATTGCACTTGACATCATACCGTTAGCTTCGACTTGTATGACCTGGGTAATAGCATCACCTTCAGGGGATCAAAACCAGAAACTTGCAAAGATAGAGATTAATGCGCGAGTATTAAAATATGAAAAATCTAGTCGGGGCGATCACCTTGAGCTGCGTGGAGTTCGGATCCCGAGCATCTTGGCTCCAAGATGGTGTTTTCTCCCGATAATCGTCTGAGGAGAAGCTGCTGGGACGGGGGAAGGTGATTGGAGCAGGATAGGATGCGGCCCTTTGACGACCCAGCTGACCGTCCATGTTTCAATTAAGGAGTGGCACTGGTAAAATAAGATTAAGTAAAAATAAAAAAGGATCGGTGTCCCTACATCTGCAGTTAGAGAAAATGCAAAATACAATTGAATACAGCTAGGTTCTTCAGTCACAACAACAACAGAGTGCTAACAGAAAGCGTAGCATTTTTTAATAAGGATACAGGCATTGAAACCCCATGACCACACCGTCCCGTCACCTGTTGCAATCAATTATTTCACAACCACAACCAGCAAAAATTCAGCACTACTGCAGTGGGCCAATGCAAGAAATCAAGACTGTCAATACATTTGCATACTACAAACAAATTATTCGCGCAGTAACACGAGGTGTAACTACTGGAATAATTTGGTCATGGGAAAATGGAACCTGCTAGGGCAAGACTATGATAGGCTCCAGCAGCAATTTGAGTAACTCTGGATCTCTCTGCCGAATCCCTGTCATCCCTTGTTGGGAGGCCATTGTCTTCCTCCACTGTCGCTCCAATCTCGACAAGCGTGGGTTCAAGTTCGTCTTGAAAGACTCCCATACCCATACGTCCGAATTGCCCTCGACCCCATGTGTAGACGCTGCCACTAGCTGCACATACCAGGTGCGTTCACAAGTAAAAAATGTGACTGCCAGCTCCAAACACGATACTCTTGTACAGTGAAAGTGGGGTCTCATCGGAGTTCTTAAGTATACAGAACTGACTAACTTAGCAGCCTGTTACTCTTTCACAATATATCCCTTACTGTAACTAGCAAGAATGTAGAACATCAAATCCATCCTCAAATCCCGCAAATAAAAGCCCTAAGCTTAGCAAAGTTTGGCACTAAATGCCTAGGCAGCACCTGCTGCAAGAGATACTACGAGTGACGGGGTTGTTGGAACCCTATGAGGGGCAAGGTCATTCGAAACTAGAGAACAAATCAACAAAAATGTGCGGAGTGCACAATCGGAATAATTCATACCGATCAATTTGATCCTTACGAACTCCACAGCTCGCTCTGATTTCATACACAGTGATACTAAGCACCCCGAACAGGTGTCACACATGTGATTTCCTTCTAAAAAGACTCAAAAATTTCTCGATCTTTTTAGTACGCTCGCAGAGATAACGCGATTCCCCTTGACCGGAAATCTCGTGTTAACCTTTAGGGCGAAAACTAGACCTTTTAAAAGTGCAAATCCAGAAAGGACGCGGGAAGGCCAATTCGGTTCTCCAAAGAATTCGACGAGCATGTATGAGAACTTGTACGAGGATGCGGTAGAGGGCATGAATATGCGAGAGTGCAACGTCCGAAACGGAATTCGCTGGCAGGGCTAAGAGATGAACCGTACCTGTGAGAGCAAGAGTGTGCGCTTCCCCAGCAGCCACTTGTACCACAGTGAAGGATCCCGGATCGTCATGAATATAGTCAGTGGCACGAGCCATCATTCACCTTCAACTTAATTAGTTTACAACCCCTCTACTTACCTCCCAGATCTCTACTAGAATCTATCAACCCTCACAAGCAGCCTCCTCTTGCCGTCTAAAACTACTTCCCCGACTGGCCATCTTTTACTTCCCCTCTTAGTTCACAACCATCACCGCCACGGCACCGAAACTACACTGCCTTCCCAAACGCAACTGCATACTTTCAACAACAAATAGTAGATTTCTTCCATGTTTCTAGAACTAGAAAATATAAATACATAAAAACCGATAGAAAACTTCGCAGCCTCCACAGACACCGCTTTCAGGACTCCAGCAATGGATCTCTCACGAGGCAGTAACACTTGCTTGCCATCCCTCTTTGCAGACTGATCACTAAAGCTAAAGATGAACAGCAGCACCAGCATCTGATGACGCTCCTCGCTCGCAAGGTGATCAAGACGGATCCAATCAGATAATCAGATTCGTAAACAAAAAACTCGACACCGAAGAGTGCACAAGACCAGGCTTCCGCGAAGACAGGAACGCACCACCACCACAACGATCCCACCTTTGTCCTCCCTGTGTCGTGTGTAAGGCCCGCGCTATCAAATGATCATGAGCAGCCCACGAAGCCTCAAGGCAATCGACATCCGCGAAATGGGTCCTCCAGAAGGCAAAGGGTGTTTGAGTGCCTCGGTGGGAGGGTTAGGAGGGGCAAGAGATCGACGATAGACCCTGGTGCCAGACCAGCGATGCCGTCCAATTTGGCCATTGGTTCAAACCTACTAAACTAAGCTATATTCCTTTTCCCCCTCAGCTCTCAGCGCGTCGTCTTCGTGGCCTTTTTTTTTTTTTTTTTTTTACCACTCTCAGCTAATAAGCCTGGCTGTGGCGTCTCCCCAATTGCTCCGTTTTGCTAATATCTGCGGCAACAGAAGGAATTTTGTGGCTCGCCAAAAATGGACCATCAGAACGATTCTCTCTCCAGCGCTTCCTCTCTCACGCTCTCTCTCACTCTCTCCCTCTTACTCAACGTCGATTGCACCTCCGCTGTCGCTACTGCCGCAGGTCGATTTTCAGCTTCACTGCACTTAGGACTGAGAATTCCGCCACCTGTTTCTTACCTTGCCCGAGTGAGAGAGAGATATCGCTAGTCCCGTCTTGCACTGCACCATCACTCTGTCCCCAATCCGGCCCAACTCCATGTGGGCATGACCACATCGCACTTTCACACCGAAATCATGGTTCATGGTCACATTCCCGTCGCGAAATCAATCACTACTGGCGAGCACATCGCACCCACCTCTCCCCTCCTCTCCCCTCGCCTTGCCTCGCCTTGCTAGCAACACACGGACCGGAATCTACTCACACAAATTCGCTTCGCGGTGTGAATGGGGTTTGATTTGGATGAATGAGGGATGGAAGTTCTTCTGATGATGATTTAACTGATCCCAGTGTGGGAAACGGGTAAGACCTGTGCTCCATTTGAGAAGGAAGATATTTTTCAAAAGGTAGAAAATGCAGTTGGGTGTATTTTTCTTAACTGAGAATGACATGTTTGGGTGCTGTAGTATTGGAGAAATTTGACCTAATGTTGTGTTTAATATGAGAGTTGATTGTGTGTTTTTACCATGCTTTGGTGAAAATATATATATATATATATATATTATGTGTGTGCGTGTGAATATAATCTTGGCTTTTTTTCTTCTTTATATATGTACACTTTTTAAATAATGAGGTCGATCTTTGTGTTTTTACTGAACTCTTACATATTTGAGATATTTAATAGTTTTCGAAAGTTTTAGATGTATGATCCTTTTTTGGATTTATGTATCCATCTTTATTTTCCTCACAATCAATGCATTTTCATGCTTAAAAAAAAGAAAAATTATGCAACATACAAAATAAAAATCAAAACTTAAAAATTGGAGAAAAAATAAGCAATGACCTTTTAGCATGCTATCGTTTTTTTTTTTTCCATTTATTTTTATTTCACTTCTTTTTTCTCCATACTACGAGGGTGTATTGTAACACACGAATGAACAAACAAATCAATGAGCTAAATAAGCATGCTATATAATAATTTGGATGAGGTCGCCACTGTCTCTGACTTGCTTGCAAAGCAGGGTAGATCTCAGCCAGACAAAACGCACACATCCGAATGCACATATTCAACAATAGTGGTACAGCAGATCAGTTTTTTCAAGAGGGCAGTGGCAGCAGCAAAGCTCTAGAACTGGGCAGCACCTACCATGGCCACGTACTTGGCTCTGAGCTCCTATGTGACCTCTGACACAACCTGCAGCTCTCCCAACTCCCCTGCAACTTTGGTGAAAAAAAAAAAACAAAAATCAAACCAAACCAAACCAAACCAAAAAAATCCAAACAAAACCACAAGTAACAAAAATAACAAAAAACCAAAAAAGAAGGTGTGTGTGCAGACCATTACACACACTTCGAATCTCTGCAATTGGACTGTAAGGCCGACTAACAATCTCTCAAAGCTCCCGGAAACCACATCCGAGAACAGCAGAAGAAAAAAAGGGAGTAGAAACACACTTTTTAAGTTGATTCATGGTAGAAGGGCAGCAGCAGCAAGCTCAGAGAAAGGTCATTGCTTATCCTTAACTCTCATTACCACCGCCATCCGAGCTTTGTCTTCCTCTATCTCCCTCTTTCCGTCTCTCTTGCTAGATGGTGCCCTGGTGAGGTTGCGACCAGTTTGGTTTTCCTGGTTTTTGTCTTGACCTGGGACGGGTCCCAGACTGGACGGCGCTTGGGCTGTCCCCAACCCAAATGCCGAGAGAGCATGAGAGTAGGAGATTTGCTCAAGTTGGAAAGGTGGTGTCAGTGCTCATCGACATTGCCTTTGTGGCCTCCTGGGACACACTTTTGTCGTCTGCAATTCCTTTCTTTCTCGCCTCTTCTTCTTCTGCTTCTTTTCTTTCATCTTTTATTTAGGACCCTGATTCTACGTGTGTACTTTTGGCGAAGTCCATTTTAATGCTACCAGAGTGGCTAGTTTTCAGCCACAATCAGTTGGGAAAGATGAACTTTTATTTTATTTTTGCTCTATTTTCTTTTCCATCATCATACATGGAAAGAGGCACAATCTGGCATTGTGTCCATCGACTGAAGTCTGAACATGCTGTTACTCATTCATTTCCATTGAATGTTGTTAAAGTGCGAACATAATCCAGTCAAAATAAAGACAGAGGTAAAGAAAGAAAAGAGAGGAGGACAAGCTTATATAAAGATGTCACATTGCGTACTTCCCACAAGTCACAGTCGAGATTGTGCAAGGATCTTCAAATGCATTCATGCGCTTATTGTGAACGTTAGAAAACGAGTAATTACACAACAATCGTCGTACTGGGTTCTGATGCAAGCATCATGGGTGGAATTATTCTCACTTTCTCGGATGAATTCACTTGAATTAGCAGAAAGACTGATGCAAAAGGTGTCCAGTGACTAATGTCCACTACTACGTCTTCATCTGCATGTTATAACAGAATTGGGTGGGTTATGGAGGAGAAGGCAACTTAACATGGATCTCAAGCAATTCAAGTCTCCAAACTATGCACTCTTAATGTATTTGGCTCGGTGAAAAGAGTGTCAAACTTGGTCGATGGAAGTTGTGCTGGTGTGCTTTGGATCATTGTCGAAGGATTCTACTTTTATTAGAATGCACTAGAAAATCATTGCGACGTTTTCCAACGTGAGTCGCAAATAGGGCATATCCTTCGATGATTGGCACTACAAGCACTTGTTTTACCGGATATGGGTTAATTCTGAGAATAAATACCACGGGGTTACTTGCCTTTCAATAAATAGAATACTCTGAAAATTTCCTTCATTTACCAACTTTCGATGCGAAATGCTTATCCAAGAGCGCCGTTTAATGACGTATATTATAAGAGTCTAGACCGATGCATTAAAAGCTTCCTCTTTCGATCATGTCATTAACGTTGATTATGTCCTAAGAATCTTCAACACGATGGCCATTGTGCCTTTCGATTGTTATGGATCATGCCCTAAACAAGATAATGCAATAAGATTCAAGTTGATTTCAGATTCCATTATCATTTTCTAGGAAAGTATAGAAAGTATATTTCAAAACATTGATAAACATAAACCTTTCTCATGTAAGTATGTATCAACACACACCTAGCACCGCGCAGTTATGATGTGACACTAAAAACCTACAAAGTACCCACTTAAAAGTTTTCGTGTTTTTTTTTTCATTTTTTGATTGTTTTTCAAAATGGTGTCAGTTCCAATACGCTAAGCCTGAAGAAAAGTTTGTCTCATTCTGTCTTTGGGGAATGATCGAAACCCTACTTTTCAAGAGTTCAGGTTGAGAGAGAGAGCATGATCGAGTTGAAGCTAGTTCAAGGCAGCAAGGGGCCTGCATCGGAGCAATCAACTCTCGCAATCGGAAAATCAGTCCAGCAAAATATAGCCAAGCAATGGAATCTTACATGCACAGAAACAACGTACCATGCAAGGGTCTCTGTACAGTAGAAGCCCGCGTGATTTGTCGATTCGTAACACTATATTTTATGAAGTTTGTTTTTATAGCGCAATGCATGCAGGACAGAGCGCTGTTTTATCCCCCAAAGGAGAGTCCATCAATCTTAGGACTGGGATATATATATATATATATATATACTCGGGGCTGGCAGTTAGACTTAGCTTTACTGACAAGGATACAAAAAGTTGCTAAAGCGGTAAGGTGCTTTAGCAGCCCCACATTCTGTGGATAGTATATCAACCCAGACATGGAGTGCGATCGATGGATCAAGACAATCGGTGGGGGCGGCATAGCTGTGATTCCCCCCCTACGAGGAATCATAGGGCGTTCCAGAGTTGGGCACACCACCATCTGGTTGCACACGCACGCTTTCCCCCCTCGTTTTCACAAAGTTTCAGTTGGGTGAAGACGGAATGTGACAACGACGAAGGAGAAGGAGAAGAAGAAGATGAGTGATAAGAAAAGAAAACGGAAAGAAAAAGAAGAGCATGTGCTCAGTGAGAACAGATATAAAAAGTGGCAACCGATCTTGACGTATGCTGTTGCCTCAGCCGGACATGGGATTGTGCAATCATGTTATCTTTTTCCGGGTACTTAATTCAGATGCTATGTGCATCGTATGTTGCTCTGCTACTTGCGGCTGTCTATGGAAGTGTCGTAATGGAGATGAAAATAGTTTGATAATTCGAGGTGGGGAGAGACGAAAGCACAGGACTATAGTTAAGCGGTGGTACAAGAGAGTCCTTTAGGTAGAAAAGGAATATCAGAGGATTTAACTATAACATTGGTGATGAGGTGAGCAGAACGAACTGCGGGTGAGTCTATCACAAATAGCTAATCACTCAAGCAAGAGATTCCATGCGACCCACATCAATCAGTACATTAAAAAGGGTGCGGAAAATGACATCATTTTCCTGGTTGCATTGTTACTTAATTGACTTTGGGGTTGGGATTGAAGACAACTCATTTTACCAGGTTATCTGGTTCATATTGTACGCCGAAAGAAGCACGGCACATGTAATATGCACCGGTGATTCATTTCGGTACATGCAAACGCGTACACAGTGCTGGAAAGCATGAACTGTTTGTTTTGTGAATATTTATTTCCTTTGTTGTGTTACCTGGGGTTGTCATCCCCGCCCAGCGATTTACCATGTACTGCAGTCGGAGGAGGCTCATGCCCAGACGAAGGAATTATGGACCGTGTCAGATGGTTCTGTCCACTCTGGATGTCACTGAGTGTGCAACTTGGGTTCCATTTACGCCGCTCTTCACTCATGAAAGTTCTGAACGGCTTTCTTCTCCTGCATGAAGACCTGGCCCCTGGAGACTCGTTCAGAACAGAATTTGAGTATCACTTAATAACACAAACGTTCAGCTGTTATGTTCTGTTGGGGTGTGGTACAATGATGGCAACACCGATAACTCCAAGCTCAAAAAAGGAGTTGCTGAAACGAATCACACACCACAGCTTCGCATTGAGTTCAAATGTTGGATCAGGACGCACGCTTCAATTCTGGCTATCTGGTCCTGTGAACGGTGCTGACCTGTCCGGAATCTTTGAGATTGACTCGCAACGCTTTGAGTGAGCGATTGTCGCGATGACTATGCTAGTCAGTGAGTTCTTTGATTCAGAACTTTGACATCCTTTCTCTGCAACGTCAAAAGAATCCTACTTGCACGTGAATCCAGAATGAGTGGCAACCTTTCTGACAAACACAAACAACTGGAATAGTCAAAACCTCACAATTATGTGGTAGGCGAGCTGCCTTAATCTCGATTGCGGACTCATGGACACGCTTTTCATTAGGAGTCGGAGGATCCACGTGTTCGAAAAAGGCCGTTCCTAAATAAAGGTCTTACGTCTGTCAGCAACTTTAACGACCTTGATTTTAACCAGTCATTTACAGCAGTCAACTTCAATGCCACACGGTAAGTAAAACTGGTGGCATGCAAATCATAACAGGGAAGACGACATTAGTTTTCAGAGGAGAAATAAACCAACACAATGAACACATTCATGTAAGACTGAATATGATAACATCCGCTGTGCCTACTATGTGCAAAGAACTGGAGGTCCATCATCAAAGAGAGTAACCCATCTAAGACGCTCGGAGCTAGAATTGCGATTACGAACAATCAGTCCGCCGTGCATACAACGAACACAACCAACACGATGTGCTCACCAACTTAAGTATACTTAAGCATCATAAATCGCCGAAGATTGACATGAAAGCTCATCTTTCCACTTCCGCCGAGTATCCTCACCGCTCGATTCTTCCCTTTCCTGCTTAACGCACACAATTAATTGAACTACCCATTTGAAGAGAAAATCCAGCCATAGCTCGCACAAGTGGCTGGTGATGACACTCTTGATTCCTTAAAGCCAGGTTAGATTGTGTGAAAAAACAGATGATCGTTCTTTCGAATGAGCAGACGGCCTCAGATTAAAAGCTTCGAACCTCGTCGATTCATTTACACCGAACACTATTGCAGCATTGTATTACAGATCGATGAAAAACTGCTCAGACGAATTGCTAGTCAGAGCACGGACCCGACGTTGGGTGAGTACCCATGCTCCATCTTCCTTTCGAGAAAAACATTCTGAGTTGTGCAAAGAATAAAGAAAAAAAAAAAAAAAAAAAAGTCAGCTAGCAAAATAACGCGCCGTTGTCTGCAAATCTTCGTTTGCAACTGTCGGTATGGTCGACTTCGGAAGACAGAGCAGTGGAGGGCTTCGCGGTCTTTTTCCGGCGTTGGCTTTGGTTGATTCATTGGAGATTTTTGTGCATGAAACAATTGTGAGAGTTCTAGTCAAACTTCTAGTCAGAGTTTTGTATACTTCATCAACAAGACAAGGTCCACAAAGCCGTCAGGAGTAGAGTTTTTCAAGGAGATATGATGTAGTATTATTCTGATGTAAACATTTATAATTTTGCATGTACATATTCTAGTGGAAACTGGTGCTATTGCCAGGAAAAAACATTGTAAATTAAGTGTTGTAATTTTTTTTTTGTTTGAAGCTTCATATGAAGTGAAATTCCATAGTGCATGCAGTTCCATTATGTTTCATGCCATTTCACATTGTAGTGCATCCAAGCTCTATGCCTAGTGATCTTGCAATAAATTCTTGGCAATTTGCAGCAACAACATGCAAATTTTGATCTTTGATTGTTTGATGATCTTCTAGGCATAGAGCTTGGATGCACCACAATTTTGATCTTTGATTGTTTGATGTTGGAAGAAGGTGGATAATTATGAATAGGCTTTTTAAATAGCAAGATACATAAGACCAAATGTAATAGACTTCTTGACATACAAATCAAGCAGCAATAATAGAGGCCTGTATAGTGGTGCCTTTGCTCCATTGTTTTTTTAATTACATGCTAGAAACCACAATTATACTTCAACCAAACTTGAGTATCAATAATTGAATGCCCTTTTATAACAACATAGCCTTGCGAAAAGACAAATGATTAGATACTTTAGAGAAGGTCAAGCAATGTAGTATTCTTGTATTTGGATAGATGAAGCATTGGATGTGAGAATTTATTGTGTATATACAAGTAGAAAATAATAAGGAAGAACACTAAAAAAGTAGAAGTTAATAGGAAAATAAGAAATGATCCACTTAGGGTATTGCGTTAAAAATATATAAGTATTGCTTTAAGAACTATATATATATATAATTAGATAATTATGGTTTTAGATTATATATTAAAAAATATTTATTAAGTATCTTATTGAATATCTCTACTTATTTAAAAATAATATTAATAAATTTAATTTAATAATTAAATTTATCTTTGATCAATTTTATTAAATTAAAGTTTAATTACATATTGAATAAGAATGTAGTTATTTTGTTTTGACTTACTCAAAATTTATAGCTCAGTAGAAGTAAATCTGCATTTTTTAATCAAATTTAATAAAATTCTCAAAGAATTTAACAATACAAATAATCTTACTATACGTGTGATACATAAATTACGTAATATTCTTAGTAAATTTTAACTTATACTTATAATATAAATAATATTATTTTAGCTTATCCTCATTTAATGATAAAAAATACACAAATTCTGGCTTAATAAATACTTAGTAAAAATATACTTTTCTTGCTTTTTTTAGAAGATTAAATTTATCTGAATGATAAATAATAATTTTATTTGATGAATTTTAAGATTTCTTATAAAATATATTAAAAGATAGTATGTTGTGTAGAAATCTTAATTTTTATTTGTAAGCTGGACAATGAGGCTTAACTTCAAAAAATTGTGTTTCTTTTTGTACAATATCTTATTGAACTACTATTGTCAATCGTTAATTTGATGCTTTATATACATAAATATATATATATATATATATATATATATATATTTATTTATTTATTCTTTTATTTAAGAAAAAATGATAATATTTATTTTTTTTGTTAATAGTAACAAAATAAAATTAAACTAATTTTAGAAGTACTAAAAAGCTGTATGTATTTATGTATCAAAACAATATTTCTTATATTTACTTCTAATTCAAAAAAGAATGTAAATTATTTCCAAACATGTATTAAAAAAATAGATGTATCATTTATTCTTAATTATTTTTTAAATATATATTTATTAATATTTTAATATTTTACGAATTACATCTAAGTCATAGATATAAATATTCATACATACAAATATGAACATAGAATACATAATTTTCAAACAAAAATATTATACCATAAAGACTATATGATATCCTGTATTATTTATCTTGATTTATCATATCCTGTATTATTTATCTTGATTTATCATATCCTGTATTATTTTTGAAACTAATCAATTATTTTCAGATTGCAAATTTTGTTTCAAATATAATAATAGATAAAAATATGCACATATGAAAAATCATTCACAATTAAATTCAATTAAGGCATTTCTCATCTAACATGAGTATAAATATTTGCATGAAAGGATAAAACATTATTAATGAATCAATATTTAGCTCTATAAATTAAAAAAACAGAATCTTAACATTTCAATATATTTAAATATTAAATTTTTGTATTTTATATTTATTCTCAAGAGGTCTTTATAACTAAAAGAGAAAGTAAAGAATTACAAATTTTAAACACTTTAATTGGCTAATTTAAGAAACCTCATTTAGATAGTTTTATACTTAGTTAAGTTAGATTAAAGAAAAGAGTAAGAAAAGGTATAATATATTTCTTACTTGATTGTGTTAATAGCAATTATCTTCCAAAATTTACAACAAGCTCACTTTAGGAAATAGATTTTATTAAACTTAATGAAGCAATTTTACAATGTGCTAAAAATAATCATTACAAACATAATATATTTTAAATAACTTTAGACTCTAAATATGAATTTATAAATTTAGAGTCTTATAAAAGAATCATTTCATATGTTTTTTTGTTTACCTTATACTATCTCTAAAAGCTACGTTTTCTAAAAAAAATAATTGTCTTTACAATAGCAAGCCTTTTTGAGGCAATCGTTTTATAAACTTTAAGAGAAGGCTTCTTAGTATAAAATATATGATAAAATGGTTCAATTTTGAATTTCAACATTTTTTATTTTTTATTTTTATTTTTTTTTCAAACATCATTTACAACAACTACTACAATAATAACCATATGCAAACAACTACCTCTAAAAGTGTCAATCACATGTTTGCATAAAAAAACATGAAAATCCTCTGCAAATAATTCATGAGAAGCAATGGTAGGCTCAACTACACGAGGTTCTGCAGGTACAAATAAAAGATTTAAGGTGTGTGGGTCAGGTTGGCAGACCAGACTTCCAGTACAAGGGAAACGAAGACTCAGACGAAGTCTCGGACTGCAAGACCCGGGGGTGGGGGGGAGGGGGTCTTGGGAACCTGGACCGGAGAAGGAGAAGAAGGATCCAGCGATAGGGATGAAGCGAGAGAGGTGTTGGTGGTGACAATCCAGATCAATCACAGTATCGACGCGGTGATTGAAGGGAAAGACCCTCCATCTCCATGTGTTGCTGAGGCCACAAGTTATTCTTGTCGGCTTAGTTTGCCTTGGTCCCTACATCTCGTGTGAGAGTGTGAGAGAGTGTGAGAGAGTGTAGTGTGCGTGTTTGTGTGTGTGTAGAGGGTGTGGCAGCGAACTGTTAGGGCTTGGTTGCGGAGACGCGCGGTAGGAGGCGAAAGGTCGTTGAGAGGGAATTGTCCGGGCGAGACAAGAGTTTCCAGCCTCAAAGGAGTTCGGAGACAGACTTTGAGGATTTTTCTTCTTGTTTTTTGGGTTTTTTTGTCTCGAAGGATTCGGTCGGTAATTTAGTAGTTATGGAGGATATTTGTGAGATATGCGCTGAGCCTTTGGAATGGTTGGCGTATGGGCCATGTGGGCACCGTGATGCTTGTTACGAGTGCAATTTGAAGGGGCGGTTGTTGAGTCAGACCAAGGAGTGTTTCTTTTGCAAACAGGAATGCCCTAGTGTTTTTGTTACCAAGGTGGGTGTTCAGATCATCAAGGAACTGAAATCTTTCAATTTAGGGTTTTAGTTGGTATTGTGTTGATGAGCAGGGTGTTGATGTGAAATGCATTGGTGTGAAATCTGACCGTGTTTCGGTTCTGCACACACAGGCACTAGGGAATTTCACTAAGGTGGTGACGTCATTCAGCGATTTGGAAGATCAGCTCCGTCGGAAAGAAAACACTGACAATGAACTTTATTATGAGGACAGCGTTCAAGCTTATGTTGACAACGCGGAAGTCTATGAGAAGATCAAAGCTATGTGCAGGCTTTCGTGTAGTAAATGCGAAGCGAGGGAATTGTCCGGGCCAGATGAGTCATTACCCAAGGGTGCCGTTAAAAAGGGCCATGTGTTCAGGAGCATCGATTCGCTTCGAGATCATCTTTCCAAGGCGCACCATCTGGAAATGTGTAATCTGTGCTTGAATAACAGAAAGGTATGAATGTAAGTTGAATTTTGGTTCGAGCTTGGGTTTTATATAATCTTTCGCATTCAGACTATCGCCCAGTATCACATTGCTCCATGCCCCGATTCTTTGTGAGTAATGAGAGTACCTCTCAGGTTTTCTCGATTTGGAAATACCATCTCACCGTGTTTGCTCAGATCGTGGACACTTGGGGTTTTCCTTATAATTGTAAAAATAGATGTCAGAGGTGCTTTTAAAAGCTCTGCTGGGCATATTTTGAACACCCAGAATCCTGACAGGATGGTCGATCACTGCTACTGTATACATTTTCAAACAGTGTGGTAGGGGTTTTCTTAACTTGACTGTACATGGTCAGGGTACACCTAAGATTCTTCGGGTGTGCCTTCTACACTGAAACGTTGCCGCCATGCTGATTGTGTGAAGATTTACTAGCATTTTCTTCTGGTTTTTAGCTTTACATACATGTTGGGTGTCGTGTTGATCTAGGAGTTATTAACTAAGCAACGTCTATTTACAAAAAGTCAGCTAAGACGGCACGAAGAGAGAGGTAACTCCGAAGCGGATGGAACAGTAGAGGAGAGAGGGGGCTTCTCTGGTCACCCGATGTGTGAGTTTTGTAAGAAGCGGTTTTACGACGAGAATGACCTGTACCATCACATGTCCGTAGAGCATTTCACTTGTCACCTGTGCCAACGGTACGTAGTTCAGCCTTTGCCTTGCTGATAGATTATGCAATGTGAGTATGCTCTCGATGTTTGAAAGAAAGAGGTTTAATGACTAACCTTGCATATTGTTCTGTTCAGGGCTAGGCCAGGTCGTTTTGAGTATTATAGTAGCTATGAGGACCTCGAGGTATATATATTTCACCCTCAATCATTCCAGATGGATAATGAATAGTGCCCCTAATTTTTTTCCTTTGTAGTGGATGCACCCGACGAGGAGCTTTTTCTTGTTTTGAATTGCGAGCTCTGCATGAAGTGTTAATGTGTGATTCGCTCATATTCGTTCTTGATCCTCAGCTGACGATAGTCCTTGTGTTGGATGAGTAAACAGAAACATTTTCGGAAGAAGCATGCGTTGTGTGAGCATCCGGACTGTTTGACCAAGAAGTTTGTAGTGTTTGTAAGCGATTCAGAATTGAAGGTGCGTTTCGGTCCATACCATACTCCGGCTTTTAAAAATAAAAAATAAAAATCTCGCAAATGGTTGTTTGAGTTGGACGGCTGCACCTGCCGCATCATAAGCTGATTTTTTGTTTATCTGGAATTGCTCTTCTGCTGCAGCGTCACACTGCTATCGCACACGGAGATAATATGACCCGTTCTCAACGAAATGCTGTTCTTCAGGTAAAGTTCTTTGGTCTACACTGTCTTCTCTTTTTTTAATTACTTGTGAGAAATTGCATACCTGTTTAGGATGTTGTGCTTTGTGTGCAAAGACAGTACTTTAAGCAAAGTCAAACGACCTATTTTAGGTTGATAAAGTCAAAATTTGGACTGGCACTCCTTGATTCCTTATATTTTAGAACCTAGACATGGCCGGGTGGTTGTAGATTGACAAGAAACAGCGCCTGCTCTGGACTCATGACGAGGCTTGTGGTTGACGAAGGAAATTGGAGTTATTTTCTTGTTTCATTAAACGTGCGATGAAAGGGTTTTGTGGGGTTTATTGCATTGAAAAGGCCTCCTCGAATGTTTTACGGACACGTTTGGAACGGCTTACCTGAACCTGCTCCTTTCATATTGTAGGTTCCAGTTGCTCTCGAGTTTCGTAGGCAAGGACATGAAGGTAGAGATGGTGGTAGGAGTGGTGGCAGCCGCTATGGATATGGGCGCGGTAGAGGGCGAAGAGAAAACGTTCAGACCGAGTCAAATGGCATAGACGCAGCTGAGCGAGCTAGCATTGATCAATCAATGTTGGATGAGGCATACCGGGAGTCGGCAGCAATGACTGCAAGCGTTGGTGGAGGAGGAGGAGGAGGAGGAGGAGGAGGAGCAGCGGAAACTAGCACGGCCAGTGGAGAAACACGCGAAGGCCCGAACTCGTTTGCTGCACTTGAAAGTGAAGTAGTGGAATCAGGGCCTCCACCTCCTTCACGATATGCCAGCGCAGTATCAGGAAGCGGTCCTTCTACATTAGCGGAAACTGCATTTCCTCCTCTTCCCGGAGCTTCTGGAGGAAGTGGTACTGGAAAGCATAAGCAGAGGAAGCAAAACGCTCCAGCATCTATGGCTTCCCTTTTGGGTGGTGGCGGAGGAAGAGGTGGAGCTGTGAGAGTTTTGAACACGTCAGGATCAAGAGTGTCTGCTGGATCCAGTTCTCGGCCTCCTGTTGGTAGCGGAGAGAGTAGAGTGGGAGGTTGGACCAGCAGTATTACGCATCCATCCCCGGCTAACAGTGACCGGGTACCCGGAAGTTGGACAAGTGTTAGTCCTCATCGGAAGTCTCAGGTCGGAGGGAGTAGCAACGTTCAAGGTACATCTTTTCCATCTTTGCCGCTTGCAACACCCTCGGCCCCTGCAATACCTCCAGCTGCAGCTGCCGGTCGTAATGCCGTAGATCGGGTAATTGGGAGCAGTAGAGGTAAGGAGGCATCTGTTTCAGGACGTGAATCACGTGGTGTAGACGTGGTGCACCATCTAAGTAGGGACGAGTTACGCGCAGCCAACAAGGTGTTGATCGAAAGCATTCAAGTTGGACTACAGGGAAACGAACGAGCATTCGCGGATTTCAAGGACGTTTCAGCACGCTTCAGTAAAGGGGAGATGAGCACCTTGGACTACTACGGACATATCATACGGCTAGGTCTTTCTGACGTTGTGCCAGAATTAGGAAGGCTTTGTCCAGATCCCATGAAAGGAAAGGAGTTAATCCAGGCACATGCAGCTCGCCTAGCTCTCGAGCATGCATTTCCTCCGGTTGCAGCCAGCAGTAACTCTGTGTCTCAGGTAGTCAAAAATGGAGGGGCAGCGGGGAAAGGCAAGGCAGTACAAGAAGGCAGCTCACAATCTAGACGAGCATCTCCGCTGCCTAACGAGGAAGTAGAAGTGCTGTCCAAAGACGGTTATCGCACTGGAAAGGGAAAAGCCAGATTAGACGATGGCAATTCTAGCAACTCTGAGGCGTCAGATGGGCCCAGCAAGAGCCGCGGAAAGCCGCAAGTGCTGGTAAAAGCAACGGGAGGTTTGTTGGAGCCGTCAGTTGGCTCTTCGGGTCAGTCCACCAGTTCCGTTCCAGATAAACGGTGGACTTGTAGTGCGTGCACGTTGGAGAATGCAGGAGATTCTCCCGAGTGTGTTATGTGTGGTTCTGATGGCCCTTCTTGGGCTCTGGCTTCGAAGTCAGGGGCAGCAGGCGACAAGCGCAAGAAGAAGCTATCAAAGTTTCAAATACGCCTTGGTGATGGTTCTGCTGCCGCCCTGCTGGACAGAGTGGCGAATCCAAATCCTTGGGGTGTTATTGCTGAAATTGGGAACCCATCTGCTCCTGCTGCGACTGAAGTACGAGCTTTTGGGCGGGGAGCTTGGGCCAACGGTGGTGGTAATCGATTGGCGTCCAGCATCAGAAAGGACTAGATGTATTGATGGTTCTTTGGTAAGTAAGTTGTGGATGATTCTACTCTCTTTGCATGTGGTCTCCATTCGATTGTTTTCAGGAGTTACCGAGATTGCACTTTTTGGGTCCTTGACCATAGGTGCATACATTTTGGACTTGAGCATGGCTTCTTGGTACAAATATTTTGCAGCGGCCCCCGAAGTACACATAGTTACAGGCTACTGAGTGTACCATTGACTTGGGTTATCATTGTAAGTCGTCGATTACGATAGAGCTTTTAGGATATTTCGGTTCCTTATAATCAAGGATATTGAAAGCCGATGTGAAGCATTTCTGGTACTCTAATAGTTGGCTGGGGCTTATGAGGTTTTCGACGCTAGAATTGTATTTAATTCAGTGAATCATCAGTTTCAAGAGTAGAATTGCATTCCCAGAAATAATTTAGCTCTTTGAACAGGAAAGGAATATTAATAACTAGGAACAAAAGAAACCTGAAAGATTTGCTCGAAATTTAAATTCTTGGATGATCGTACAAGATTTTGTCGTCTCATTATTGTATAATTCAAATTGTGAATTGATATTTCTATGAATAATTATTGAGGTATCAAAAGAAATTTACATCATCGTCCAAGTAATAATTGTCATTCAGTGAATCCCATTGGAACATAATACAGAAGAACTGTGATCGTAGCTAGTCGACAAGAGTCAATACCATCAATTTAGAGATCAGAAATATAATGGTGAGGCTTCAATTTTATCATCCATTTTAAAATTGTGATGCTGACTAAAATCCATTTGTATGAAAAAATACAAGAACATTCCACTTAGACTTGCTTATAAAAATCTCTAACCTCATAATTTTGGTATATATTGCAATTCTCAATCTTATGTTTCAAGTAGAGAACCACAAGGTATACATCCCTTGCATACATACTCCTGCAAAAACTTAGTTTTGATTTCAAATGAACTTTTTTATCTTTTTATATTCAACACTGATGAATAATAACAGCAACAAAACAAATTTATTTTTTTTATGTTTTTATTATTCAAAAAACTAATTTTACGAAAATTGGCAAGGACAAAAGAATAAAAGGCTAAGATAACATGGAGCCATAAAATACAAATAGATAAGAGTATATCAAATTTTGGTTTTAAAGTGATAAGAATCATGATTTAAAATCAGAACTAGATATTTTCTGCAAAAGTATGTAAGGGATATCCATGTGGTAAAAAGAGGAAAACCCACTTCACACTTCCCTTTGAATTTAATTCTAAACTTTACAATAAAATCTTGTACAATTCTTGCAAAGTTTATAATCAAAGTACTCTTTAATTTTGTATTTATTATCTTATATTTAAAATGCAACGTTAATTTTCATAATCTACATTATAACATACAATACATTCTTGAAAGATTTAAAAAAAAAAAATCATTCACAATACCCTTGCATACAAAATAAATATGCAATATGAATATCTAAAATAATTAAGTGACAGATATTACTCTTCACTGTTGTAACTTTTTTATTATTAATCAGGGTAAAGTATGATCTTTGTGTTTTAATTGAATCAAATTCATATAAATTATATTTTTTAAAAAATTATTGTCCAGACCATACAATGGTTGTGAAACTGATTTCAAAAAAGATTTCAGTCTACAATAAAGTTAACAGAAAAGTTTTTCTTTTCAAATTTGTTAAATTTTGTATTAATATAATAGAATACCAAATAACATAGTTATTGATAATAATAATATATGGCATGTATCAACTCAAGAAAAATACCATTTTTATAATAAGATCCAATTTGATTTTATAAATTTTTAATATTAAAATTTTTAAATATATATATTTTAAATCTGTAACTTTTCTACTTACAAAATAACATTAGAATTAAATATTCCACAAGGTGCTAATGTACTACTTTTTATTATTGATTGACATCTTGAATAATTATAGAAATTTTTAAAATGATAAGAATTTGATTTAATTTAATTTAATTTTTTTTTGAAAAATTCAAATTTACAAATCAAATCAAATTACCAAATTATATATATATATATATATATATATATAGAAAGAATATTACTAATTTGACCACAATTGTTTTTCTTGTCACCACATGTTATGGATACACATATTTATTCTAATAGTTATCTAGACAATATGAATACATAGAAATAGATAAAAGTAGATTAATTTTATAATATCTTGCAGAAAAGCTTTCTATAAGCTTTATAGATGTAGTTTCACCTTTATACATATCTAAGGATGATTGGTAGGTTGAACACTTGGCCAACGAGTCAGCTATATATCATACATATTGGTAGCTTGTAATACAAGCTAACCACGTAATGCATGTTGTCATGCTAAAAAGTAGCATTATATGTAAAAATAATATAAAATATTATAAAATTTTGAAATGTAATTAAAAATAAAATAAAATAACAATAACAATAACAATAAAAAGCAAATACAATAAAATATTTATCTAATTTTTTAAAGTATATAGTTTAAGTTTTGTAATTAAAGATAGTAGTTGTAGGATTTATTAGAAAAATATTTAGGGAGGCTTTGGAATCAAAAAGTATAATATTTTGAATTCTAAACCATCCCATGTAGATAGATAAGATGAGTGAAAAAAGACTTCATTTCTATTGGTTGAAAGTCATGCCCAATAGGCTTCAAGTTGTTATTTGGGACCACACTAGAGTTTGAAACCACTTTAGGATGATCTATTTGAGGCAAGGTGGACCATTCAAGGAAAGACAATGCATTCAAAGTTTGGAGGTTGGATTCAAAAAGTTTGTGTTTTGGACTAGAATTTGGGAAAAAGAAATGGATGATTTGGAATTTTAATGAGAGAATTACAATTATTTGAAGTTAGGATGTGATTTTGATATATACGATTAGTCTTTTAAGCATGTAGAGACTTATAGAAAAGCTTTGAAGAATTGAAAAGTGAGGTTTGAAAGTTGATTTGAAGAATTACATTTTATGTAAAAACATTAATATATTTCAATTTAGAAGAAAGGAGAGAAAATTATTGGAAGTTAGTGTTTAAAATTGGAGTTTGTAAGTGAGTTGTTTTTAATGGAGGTATTAGTTTTTGCCATATCTTGAGTTTTTGGACGAATTTTTGTCTCAAAATTTCTATAAATATATATGATTATGTTAAAAAGTTGTACATAAAAAATTCTTGATGTTTGAGCATTAGGTTTTGAGATATGAAGGTCTTAGTGTAGAAGTGCTTAGAAATTGATATGTTTAGCATTTGCTAGTAATTAGGTGATATCCAAAGACTTATAATGAATTTATGGTTGAATTTTTGTATAGAGGTAGTTAAGGATATAACTTAACTTTTAGAGAATTTTGAATCTAATTAGACAATTAGATTAAAAATTAATAAATGATATATATATATATATATATATATATATATATATATATATATATAAAGAATCTTTATAAGAATAGATATGAATTTATGATATCTATGATATTTAGAAATTTTCTTGTCTTTTGGCAATAGCCATTCTATTATTTTTTTGAATATACATATTTACTTATTTCTATTTTGTCATATTTCTTTGAAAACAGTCTCATTTTTTTTATTTGTGTTTATAAAATTCTTATGCTTGATACATTGATAAGAATAGACTTACAATATTAGTCTTTTATCTTGAAAAGACATAAGCATATTAAAAATTATGGATTATCTTTTTTTAAATTGATATTTTTCTAAATGTGTTTTTATATTTTTAAGTCCTCTCTTCTACTTGTCTTGAGCAATACTATATATATATATATATATAATATCATTTTTTTTCTAGTATTATCATGACAGAGCTTCTTGAAATAAAGAATGTAATAGTCCAAATGAAAGAACAATTTGGAGAGTTAATGCTTGTAATGCATCAACTCAATTTATTACCATAAAGAGCAGTAAGATTGGTAAGAAATGGAGATAATTGGAGTTGCTTTAATATTTGCTCCAAATTATATTATTTTTTCTACAGTGGTATATTTTTTCAAGTATTAGAGAACTAAAAGTTACCATAAATAAGAAATTTGATGGTACAAAATCAAAGGTTTGAAAATTCATTAATCAAGTATAATTAGTGATTGAACTTCAATTCCAAAGCTATCCAACTCTAGGATCACAAGTCAAATTTATTTCTTGTTATAAAAAATACGAGGCTCAGTAAAGATTGTATTCTATCTTTTATTATTATTTTTAGTTTTTATATATGTATAGCATTAAAAAATCAACAATCAATAAATTCAATTCAAAAACTTTTATTTTTTGATTTTTTTTATCTTTTTAATAATATAAAAAATACATAAATTTAGGCTACTATGAATAAGTTATGATAGTTTAAAGATAGAATATAAATAGTAAAAATATTAAGTGAATAATTTTTATCTCAAGAATAACTTATTAAAAGATCAAGAATTTGAGTCTCACCAAGGCTCATAAGTAGTGTATATGGATGTCTTAGAGAGGCCACAAGACCTTAGTCTTATCTTCTTGACTACATTAAAGATGCTACAATTCATAAAAAATTTGCACATCTCTTCTTATAATGACTAGATTAGTTGCTAGTCCTTTTCTATGAATAAAACTAATAGTTTTATATTTTTTACTGCATAATAGAGTTTAATAATATCTAATTACCCTAAAAACCTTGTATGACCTTCAAATCTTGTTGCATTTCTTCATAATGGTTGTTAAGGTAATAAAACTTATTTTTACCAAAATTTTAAAAATTGCTCTAAATTTTTTTAATTTTATTGAATAGATTCTAAATAAATTTTAATTTTTTTATAATATTAATATCAATTTAAGACTATATTTTTCTACCTTGGTGATTTTTTGTAATAATATTATTAATTTAAAGTAGATATAAATCATGTTTTTTTTATATAGATAATTAAAAAGACATGAATTCTTTTTCATGCTTCTTCTAACTACTATATAATATTTATAAGTTTTTTTATTAATAAAAATATAAATATATGATAAATTTAGATATTTATTATAATAACTAAATATTAATGTTTAAAAATGAGCAAAAATATTAAACCAATTAAGACAATTACTTCTAAGATTTATTAAAAGTATATTTTAATGATTTTTTTAAATAAGACTCTTATATCCTAAAAATACTTTAAATTATAATAAGTAATTAAATAATTAATAAAAAACTAATTCTAATATTTTATATTTAAATAATTAATATTATATTTTTAACAACTTTATCAATTAAAATCTATTGATAGAACTTATATGCCTCAGTAATTATTAAATATCAAAATATTCTTTCAACCTTAATATAAAATACTATTGATGGCTAAAAAGACCTTTTAATTACCTTCAAAAGAAATAAAGTTCATAATATATTATAAATTGAATTTATTATATCTTCAACTTCTTTAGCATGTGATTACCACTCATTTTGGAGCTTGCTCCTAAAAAGAGAATACTATCAGTGACATTCTTAATAGTAGTAATTACTTAAATAAGTAGATTTAGGTAGAAATTAATAAAAATAAATAAATTATATAATATCATGAAAAAAAACTTTTCA